TTAAAAAAAAAAAAAACTTGTTTCGAAAAAATTCGAAACTAATTGTTTCACATATCTAGCATGGTTTGATAAAGCGCTTGAATTAATCTGGTGGCTCGAAACTATCGTAAACCATGTTGTATATATGTTGTGTGGAAGGAAATAGATGACCACTGCTTATTACCCCTAAACCTCGCTCGCACTGCTCTCTTCTCCCCACCCTATTTTCCTCTGCATATCGCTTTCAGAATGCCTCCACCACTAGTTTCCAAGGGTAAAAGCGTAGAGACCAATTCAAGAAGTGGCACAGATATGGTCGCGGGCAATTAGATTGCTTTTGCTGTGGGGTTACTGTCGTGTAGTCATGAAACAACCGAGAAAGGGTACTGGTCACAATGTAATGTATTCTCGACTTGGAATTGTAGTGGCTTCCTAAAATCCGAAGTTGTTTTCCTTCATTATTTCTTTTTTGAACTGGTCAGAAGCACTTATGTCGTGCTATAAGTTTTCGAAGTGACTAGTTTAATCTTTCGATTTTGAATCGTTACAGACAGTCAGCAGGCATGCCTCTTTTACCAATTAGAATTTTTTATGCAACTGAGTAAGGGAGTTGCTTTGAGGTCTTCGACTGCAATGATGTGGAGCAACTCCCTGCTCTAAGTTCCTGTCCATCGTTGGAAGAAATTCATGAAGAACTTTATGATGAAGTCGCGGCGTTGTTTTCTCCAGAGCAACCCACATTCAATATCGAAGTAAGGTCGATATAAGTCAACGTGAGGCTCTTGATGAAAAATCTCATTATAAATGTGACATGTTCGAGATTGTTTGAAAGTAGTTGCTGTGTTCCCGTCAATGAAGGATTGCAGGAAATGGCAAATGCAATACAAATCAGTGATTTGAAGACCTTCTGTGCAACAGCGGCAAAATTTTGCGCTTTGAACAAGCAAACTGATCCAAATGGAGCGGTATATTCATTCATATCTACGTGGCGAGACGAGTACGGAGGAACTCTGATACATTCGGTATGGCGTTTGCATATTTTTTTATACGAAAGAAGTTTTAGCTAGCCATAAAGCTCTTACTTTTGGACTGTGTGCAGGTGGAGGACTTAATAATGAGTTCTCACAGTCTGAATCCCTGATACAAGAAACGTCAGGCGTCAATATTCTCGCAGCCTTGATTGGACTCAATTCTAGATTTTTCAAGCCAAGGGATAACTCGCTTTGTCGATTGTCTGNTGAAAGATTGCAGGAAATGGCAAATGCAATACAAATCAGTGATTTGAAGACCTTCTGTGCAACAGCGGCAAAATTTTGCGCTTTGAATAAGCAAGCTGATCCAAATGGAGCGGTATATTCATTCATATCTACGTGGCGAGACGAGTACGGAGGAACTCTGATACATTCGGTATGGCGTTTGCATGTTTTTTCATACGAAAGAAATTTTGGCTAGGCATGAAGCTCTTACTTTTGGACTGTGTGCAGGTGGAGGACTTAATAGTGAGTTCTCACAGTCTGAATCCCTGATACAAGAAACGTCAGGCGTCAATATTCTCGCAGCCTTGATTGGACTCAATTCTAGATTTTTCAAGCCAAGGGATAACTCGCTTTGTCGATTGTCTGTTTTGTTTTCGGTGAATTTCATTCTTTCAGATTTGTCGGAACGTAAGATGCAGTAGAACCCATG